AGTTCTATGCACGGGGCCAAGATGCAGAAACTAGTAGGGTGGGAACCCCCTCCAGCAGGCACCTTCAAAATAAATGTAGATCGCTCGTTCCAGGGTGTTGGGATTAGGCCCAACGCCCACTTTGGGCCACATATAACAGGCCCAACTATGCACACACAGACCCAAGAGGAGGAGACATACCTACATGAGCAGCGCCACGTGGGCCAATGAGTTACTTACATGTATAGAAGCCTGTATGTCTTTGGGGGTATAAATACCCCCCAACTACCAACAATGAAGGTAATTAATCTCTACGCTTCTCTCTCTGCAATTACTCCTTGAGAGCATCTCTCTCTAAAACACTGAGTATTGCTGACTTGAGCGTCGGAGTGTTTTCCCCGAGGAAACAACATCGGGATTTTCAAGTGTAGAAGCAGCTGAGGACTTCAATAGTGCTGGACTGCGAAGCTGCCGAAACATTGGCGCCGTCTGTGGGAAATTCGAACAAGAAGTTGTGTGACTCAACCTGTTGAAAGACAAAATGGTCCGTACCTTTACAGGAGGTCGCCCTCCAAGAAATGAAATGGACGAACAGGAGGACACTCACGTATCTGAGCCCGGCTTGAATGACTTTAGGCCAATGCCAAGAAATCTTTTTGTAGGGGGAGCCGAACAGGATCACCTAAGCGAAACGGATGATGATGAAAGAACACCAACGGGGTATACAACCCAGCCTAAACAATTCCAAGTTCCAACAGGAACAAGACAGAGATCTTCTAGACCACACAATTCACAGCGTGAACGACCTGAAAGGTCAACAGAACCTGCTCGGACAACCGAGCTCGAAGAGAGAACCAGAGTTCTCGAAATGGCAATGGGTAAAATCCTTGCCCGTTTAATTCCTGACGACCCCCTGATTCCTTTGCTGAACAGGGATGCACAACCAGCAGCGGTTGTTGCAACTCGAAATTCCCCTGCTCTAAGCAACATAGTGGTGCCGACTAGGCCAAGGGGAAGTGGAAAGCTAAATAACGAGCCCAGCTCGTCCAAGCATAGTGAAGAATTGATGAGAAAGAACGCAGACCTTGAAAGACAGCTGCGGGACGTACAAAAGTCTATTGACGAGCTGAAAAGTCCCAGGTCGCATCAACAGACTCTGGATTTGGATAGTGCACCACTAAACTTGTCCATTACGGCGGAGCCGTATCAAGAGGGATTCAAAATTCCCCACCTGGAGACATATGATGGCACGGGTGACCCTGATGAACATCTACACACCTATCAGGCCATCATGAGAATCCAAAATGCCAATGATGCCATGATGTGCAAAGTGTTCCTAGCAACACTCAAGTCAACAGCCAGGAGATGGTATCACAAACTCCCTAGACATTCAATAGATTCATTTTCCCAGCTCGCCAAGCTATTTTCTAATAAATTTGCGAGCCAAAGGGAGATCAAGCGCACAGCAACCGAGCTGATGCAGGTTAACCAGAAGGAAGGAGAATCTTTGAGGGACTACATGCAACCATTCAACAAAGCTACTTTAGACATTGATAACGTCCCCGATACCATTTGCTTATCCGCCTTGTTGCATGGCCTAAAGCCTGGCCGGTTTTTGGACGACCTGTTGGAGAATCCACCCAAGTCGTGGAATGAAGTAAATGACAGGTCGGCAAGCTTCATATTGTCCGAAAATTTTCAATCTTCTAAGAGACGG